TTTGTACTGCTAGCACATGCCCTCATACATAAGGTAGAAGGTGTTATGGTGCTTTAAACTTAATACATTCAAATATTACTTTTCCCCCTACATCCAGATCCTGAATGAAATGGTCACTGATCAGACGTGTCGTCAGTGGGATTGTGTTTTATCTATAATTGTTGTCGGTTGCATAGCAACAGTGTTTATACAAGTATATTCACTTGAAACATGCAGTTTTCTTGACTTCCCATGCTTAGAAAATGACCCTTCTGAAAGCATAATACAATTCAATGCAAAATAAAAGGTGGTATGCGATGACTAATTGTGACATTGTCAGTGCGGCACCATACCAAACTAATTTCCCTGAGCTTCTTACATCAGGATGAATAAAACTTGTCATCCTCATCATTTCCTGATTAGAGAAAAGGCACAGAGCTGAACAGAGCCACAGTGACATGTAATAATGGCTTCAATGCTCGACCAGGCTCCAACATATCAGCTATGGGCAACGCTCCAGTTTTCTGGTACAAGTAGTCAAATTCTAACAGTGAACAGAAGAACTGAGCGTTATTATTTTTCAGTACTTAGAAGTGTAGTTTTGACAAAACTGCAGCAATGTAAATAAACACATTGAGATCAGACCCTGAGCTCATTAAACCATGCAGACGTGATTAAATCTCTCAAACATGACTGTACCTTGTTTTGATTTCGTCTCAAATGACCTTCCTCTGACTGCACTCCTACCTTTGTACCCTGAGAGATTCTGTCTAGCATGCATGCTGTAATAAAATGTCCTGAAAAGGCCTTGCCATCTGCCATCTGCCACTTTGACCTGGATGTCCTTGGTGCCTCTGGCAACTCTGCTGCTAATTCAAACCAAAACAACTGAAATACTCGCACTCTAAATGAGTAAAATGGGGCAACAGGGTTTTACCTAACAGGTCCCATGCCAAGAGAATTAGCTTTAATTTGCAATACTGTAACGAACCACTCAAAGTACGGCAAATAAATCTCTCCTTGAGGTTTAATGGCTCCTGTGGGAGTCTGTGAGAGCAAAATCATTGCACTTATTGTCTTCTTCTTTCTCGCTAGTGACTCTTTAAGAAAAATTACTTTTAAACCCGTAAATTCAGTTTCAAACAGAAGTGGGTTGAGATATTAACAGCTATGAATGACGTCAGCTTGTCAGCAACCCTCTAATCCTTCAAATCGCTGGTGTGACTGAGAGCATGTGATGGGAATCAGGCCGGGCCTCAAATCAGTGAACTCACTCTGATCTGTCAGAGGGGAAACAAGGACTGGGTCAGTGAAGGGCTGCATATTCCCTTCAGTCTATCAAGACAGGAAGTTATAAAGTGTACAGAGGGTGTTTGAGTCACCAAACTCTAACACACAAGGAAGAGTTTAGAGTTGCCATTTTTAAGTTGTGTTCAGCAGCCTCCCAGGAAGTATTGTAACGACTCTCTGCGACTGACTTAAAAAGGTCGTCCTCATCATTTGCTGATTAGAGAAAAGGCACACAGCTGAACAAAGCCACAGTGACACGTAATAAAGCCATCAACGCTCGACAAGGCTCCACAACATTGTGGTGCTTGCACTGGGCAGCGCTCCAGATTTCTGGTACAATTAGTCAATTTCTAACTGTGGCACTACTGAGTGTAATTCACTTTCATTACTTAGAAGTTCCATTTGGATAAAACTGCATTGATGTAAATAAAAACCCCAAGATCAGAGGCTGAGATCATTCAAATATGCGGCCGTGATGAAATCTCTAAAAACGATCCTTTCAAATTCTGCTTGATTGACCTTCCTTTGACTCCACACCTTTGTGCCCTGAGAGATGCTATCTGAAATGCCGTGCATGCTGGGATGAAATGCCCTGAAAAAACCCTGCCATCTTCCACCGCCTCTTTGACCTGGATGTCCTTGGTGCCCCTGGCCAATCTGCTAGCTAGTCACACTCCAAGACAATTACTCTAACAACCTTAATTGCTGTATTAAACAGAGATGGGTTGAGTGACGTCAGCCTGTCAGCAACTTTCAAATCCTTCAAATCGCAGGTGTGACTGAGAGCATGTGATGGAAATAAGGTCTGGCCTTATATGAACTGTATAGAAACACACTAACGCTTGATCTCTTTCTAAAAAAGAATCCCTATAATAATCTTGACAAAAACACACAATGGTCAGAGGCAAACACACCTTTACATTAATATCATTATAATTGCAGAGAGGTATGAGTGAGTTCTCACTTGTTTTACATCAGTAGTTATTTAAAGTCATGGCAACTGATGGATGCATTTTTGGAATGTCTTTTTAAGATGTTTAAGAAACTAGAAACATCCAAAACATCCAAATCTTGAAGCCTCTATAGATCAAAAATATACACGATATGTAAACATTACATTTCATTTAGCTGACGTTTTTATCCAAAGCGACTTACAATTACCAATTACAGGGACATTCTCCCTGGAGTAACTAAGGACTAAGTGCCTTACTCAAGGGCACACTAGTGGTGGTTTTCCTGGCAGGATTTGAACTCACAACCTTCGGATCTTCATCCCACCTCACTATCCATTAGACCACTATCCCTAAACCTGCCAGCAAATCTATCGCTATCATAGGTATGTGCAGGATTATGGAGTATGGACAATTCTCTTGATAATTGCTCTGAAATGTATGTTTTAGCCATCTTTGGAAACCTCTCAACTCTTTCATTTGTCCAATTATTCAGTTTGTGGGAACAAAAATCTGCTAAACGAAATACATTACCATTAGCACCTTCTGTAAATTATACCTGCTAAAACATCAATATGTATTTCCATTAGCTCAAAACAAACCTGTGCAGGTAGCTTACGACTTTGTTGTTTAGTTTTGTCAAAGTTTGTTCAGTACAGCTGATCTCTCTTCTTGCAAAGGGTTTCATACCAAGACTCTTCTCCTCTATAAGTTTACGAGACAAAAATCCTTTTCAAAACGCCACCACGCGCAATAACCTCTGCTATTTCATCTCAGAAAGGCAGTCATCTCTGAGACTTGCCCATTTGTAGTTAAATGCCAGCCCCACAGAGAATACAGAGTGGTTTTATAAAATATTCAGAGAAGTTCAAATCCATAGTTCTTGATGGGGAGCTGGTGCTTCCTTATCACAGTTATTTCCTCCGACAATAACAGGAAGGCCAGCGGGGTAAGATCTTTTCATCCTGCTGTGGGGCCAAGTGCGAGCTCTGGAAATGAACATGTCTGCTTCCTTCCTGTGTGTTTTCGACAAACTCAGCAGCTATTGCCTACTCCCCACACGAGACGTGAGTCTTTTTTCATTAGCAATTATAGTGTTTTTTCAATAGAGGCAGCAGCTGAAAAAAAGGAGAGCCTGTTATGTCTCTGACGGCTTTTGTGCCTTTTACTGCTCCTGCCATTACAGCTGTCAGCCGCTGACTGGTCGAATTCATGCCACAGGATGCGAATATGGATCAGTATACGGCCTGAGGGTCACGTCTGAATTACTGGCCCAGTAAATGGCTACTATCAGATACGGCTGAATTGGCTGAATGCTGATATTTTACCAAGATGGAAGGCATTCCTCTTATCCTCAGTGTTTAAACGCTTGTTTATCAGGCCAGCTAAGCTCCTGTTCTATCATTCTAAAGGGTGAGTGGTGAGGTGGAAAGGCATGGGTTGTATTGTTTATGTGTTTGCCTGGTGCAATCTCAGACTCATTTAATTACCTCTGCATGGTATAGCAGAATGTGCATCAGTAAAGATTGACTGCCCAGAAACAATACACTTCAGCAACAAAGAAATTGCAATTGAGGGACAAAATCTAATTCTAATGGCACCAAATGATCAATTATGGTTCATTACTTCACATACAATTTGACACCAGACATACTAATTCCTGCATGATAATGTATGTTCCCACCAGATAAAGTGTATTTATAGTCACCTCCTATGACCTGGAAGTGACTGGAGCTCATGCTTTACTTGGCACAGAGGAAATAGCTCTCCTTTCTCTGTATTTGACAGCATCCGTTTCCTATGCAAGGCTTGTGCAATATTACATTACACCAGAGGATGCCTGTGGTCTGAATGTAGACTGGGGATTTTTCACATCACTTGTGATCTAAAAATAGACCATTTCACAAAGAAACTACAGGGATTTCAAGTGAGTCTTCGATCCTCAAGCATGCATAAAGACCATTTCAAATGCAAAGTAATATTTAAAATCTCCCAGATATTACCAAGAGGAGTGTAAGGTCTGCTTGAGCATGTGTGCAATATGCTGAATAAGAAACCTGAGATGAAACAAATTATGCAAATTGTTATCCTGGACGCTTTTCAACCATATGAATGAAGTCAGAGGATGAACAAACAAGTGTTTAAGTCACATGGTGTACAATCACATACCAGCCCGTAGTAAACGCTACCTGTGGTGCGTTGGGTTTAGCAACACCATCCCAGTTTATCATTAGGCAATAAATGCTGCTTGCATTTCTATATGTCTCTCCAACAAGTGCAAAAAGACAACAACTCTGTCCTGTTCAGACAACTTGCCTGATGTGCACCTGCACATTCAAACACTAAAGTTATCCCTTATAGTACGCAGTAGATTTTCGTGCAAAAGCGCTTAAATATAGCTTCGGCTTTATGTTTACAGCAAGCTGTGACGGGATGATATTACGGAGGAGATTACATAATAGAGATGGGAATAAAGGAGAAGCACTGTAAGCGATGTAAGGGTGTCCATTTGTCAAATAAAAGATAGTGAGTTAATTTGTCTGCGCACAAAGAACCCGCAATCATTTTACAGAGGTAACGCTCCATTCTGCACATTCTACGCACGATAGGCTGGATGGTTCTATTGAGCTCACATTGCCTTGCAATAACGACCCGTAAAAACAATCTAGTGAATCCGAGTCCGCCACAAACACCTGGATCTACCTAGGGTTGCCAAATTATTGCTGAAGTTGTACAAAATGTGGAGAAAAACCCCTCAGATGACAAGCACAAGCGCCTTACCTCGATCCAGAGAGAGCGGTTGGACCACTGTCGCCATGACTGCTGTTTACTGGAGACTGGAGAGACTACAGAGCTGCAGCATCACAGAGAGAGCGAGAGGGAGGGAGGGAGAGATGAGGGGATGTTGGGAGTGGTTGGGAGGGGGATTAATCCACCTCCGTCCTCATGATATCTCATAACCTGCCATTGTTTTCATAGGAACAGCATGAACGCACTACAAAAAAAAGAGGAAGTCCATCTCTCTATAAAGCACAATTCAAACCATTTAAATATTTTTTCACATGTTCAAGAAAACATAAGATTAAATTGCTGTTGAGTATTTGAGTGTGGGTCAACTACTATATAAAGATAATTAAAGGCCCACATTTGCTCAGGAGACATATTTAAAGGTCACCTATTATGCAAAATCCACCTTTTCATGTATTTTATACATAAATATGTGTCCCCTCTGTGTAAAGAGATTCTGAACGTTTCAGGAAAAAAGATTAGTTTACTTTTTGTCCTGATCCATTTATATAAAAACCTGTCTGAAGATGAGCTGCTCAGATTTTGGCCACTTTATGATGTCATGATGATGTTTTGGGTTGTGTAACCATTAGCCAATCACCAACCAAGGTAACCCCCCCCACCTTATCACCTGAATCTCCTCCCGTTACTGTTCTTTTTAACCAAAAAGGGGGGCGTGGGGAGTGGCTCCTTATTTTCATCTAAAGTAACAGACAGAGAATCAGCACTTTTGAAACAGGCCTGAAACAGAGGGGATTATGGGATGCTACAATGATCTGTTTGGTATTTGGAGCCAAACACTTCAGAGACATGTTTTGTATATATCTGAGACCTATAATATATTGATGAAAAACAGTATAATAGGGGACCTTTAAAACATGGCCAGAAGTATGATGACACTTTTACAAGAATGTGGACTCCCGAGCAAGTTGCACGTTTTTTTAAATATGCACAACAATTACAGTGAAGCAGTCTTTGGCTAGGAAAATCTTGGATCCCAGACTCCCTCCAACAATGCTAATGCATATGTATAAAACCTCAAAAGTGAAACCCAATGAGCAGTACTCCCACATGTGTTTGCTGAACATCTTGTTAAAAATCCTGGACATTATTATGCTGCTATTAAAGCCTATATACTCTTCATTGTTCAGGTCCTCCATGAAATCTATCTGCAGGAAGTTGCCTGCATTCAACATGTCCTCTAAAGTATGCAAATATGTGGACCACATGCTTGGACATATGTCATAAATCACAGCTGCATTCAGGACAGCTTATCTCTTATATTAAACCTGACTTAATAAACAAGTCAGTCATCTCTCATTTTAACAGTTATACTTACAATATGCGGTGGCATCACCATTCAGAGGAATCTACCAGTGCCCTCATGCTGAATCTCTGAATGATGTGTCTCTGTTTTTGCATGTGTAAATGCTTAGGCACATATGATGCATTCATCCATTGCACTTCAGAGATCAGTTGATTGCAACCAGGCTTGCCTTAAAGGTTTATTATGAACCGCTGAGCCATGGCACTGTTATCTCCTCTCTTGGCTACATGCACTGCATGCAGCCTGATAAGGACTGAGTGATGGTAGTGAACCTTTGTTGAAGGGCTTAAGGATTAATCCTCATGTTTATGTGCTACCACAGAACGGAGCCAAACTACTGACTCCCTTCATCTACTGTAGATCTGCTGCCTAATGGTGCCTGCTGCTGTGATATCTTTCATACCTGGCCAGTCATTGCACTCAACAGAAGCAGTGCTACACAACAACAAGTCACAAATAGCTGGTTAAGGTTGGATGATGAGTCACGTTGCTGGCATGAAGCTGTAAACTCAAACCTGACAACCAACATTTAGGCTTCCATGTGCTGTTCAGAGCAAAATCCATACAGACACTGAAATTATCTGAATTCAATTATCTTGCTTGCAGCACTTTTGCCTATATCCATTTGGGAAGCAATTACCTCACTCACAACCTCACTTTACTTCAAATTGGCAGCCATGAAATAAGTCCAAGAATGACATTTTAAAAATCTCATGTCGATGTAATTCTGCGGATTCCATTTTCATCAACTTTAAGCATTTCAGGCATCATAATCTCGGTTTTTGATTGAAACTATAACAAAACCTAATCACACAGTCCATATGTGCCTGTGAATTCCTGCCACCCTCAGTCCCACCCAGCTGCATACAGATGTGAACTGGTGGTTAATGGTGGGCTGGATGGAGAAGGACAGGGCTTAGAGAGCGCACGGAAAGAGGGCACGGAGAGATTACAGGCCCCCGCCCATATGGGCTGGAATACAGTACTGCTTTTTTTTTAAAGAGGTGGGATTACGCAGCAGTGCTCTTAAAGCCCTTTAACAGCGAGTGAATTGATTTCTGAAAAGGTTTTCACTCCCACGGAGGACAAGAGGCCATGTAGACAAGGCAAATAAAGACACCTGTGCTGCAGAATGTTTACCTATCACATAAAAGCTCAGGAAGTCCGTATCAGCATGTTTGCAGGCACGAGCACAATTCAGTACTCTAGCAAAATTAAATTAAACATGTCATTAAAGAAATACTTTTGCGACATATTCTTAGAAAAACAAAGCATTTTTATTTTGGTGGGACCATGTCTCTTCAACATTGTATATATTGTTTGTTTAATCCATACAAAAACCATGCAAAAGTTTTAAAAAGTGTGGTTTTAAGAAAGGGTCATGTGCCAGATTATTTCTTGGCCTGATCCTGTTCTTATCCAAAAGGAACATTGGGTCATGAATTTTGACAACCATTAACTCTAATCCCTGTGCAGCATGACGGTGATCATGTCTCACTGGTAAAAAGAGATGAAAATATCCTGTTTGCTTGACAACATCTCAAGTATGAAGTATTAATGTGTTTTGTTTGTGTTTAGGTTTTGCTGCATGATGTGACAGGTTGCTTTCCCACAGCTGCTCTGCTGTTTATTACCAAGCTCCATCAGGCAGCTTTCTGACAGATAATGAAAGCAGATCGTAATGTGAACATACTGATAGACATCTTAAAAGTGTTATATATTTTCCAACAAGACATAGTGAAATAACAAACATATTTTTTCCTTTATATTTTAGAGGGACAACTGAAGGAAGTAGCTCCATGATGATATTCTCTCACTTCTCAAGGCTGGTTGTGGACCTTTCATTATTTGTAACTGAAGCAACTTTGGGATTAAATGCCTAGCTCAAAGGCACCTTGAGATTTACAAAACGGAAATCCTGCAGCACTGATTTCCACACATCATACATTTGTCATGGGATTTTAACCTCTAACACAAATGTCCTCTAACCATTAGACTACTGACGCCCCCTTCAGGGAATCAGATCCCATCACTTTGTCAAAAGGAAATAATACACGACATAAAAGTAATGAAATCGCACATTACATCACTTTGTTTCATTCACCAGCTGATTTAATATCTTTTCATTTGAGAAGAAAGATTATGGGAGTATATTGTCCCTCCTGTCACATTATTACAAAGCATGAAATTAGTAAGATCATGCTCTACTGCTGTTTATTTGGCATTTTAGCTGCTCATAAACTGACATTTAAATATTTTAAGATATCAAGAGCTACTGCCACTACACCCTAGATGTATAAATGCTCAAATATTGGTCTTGTACTTTTAAAGCTATTCATATATTTATCATCTGCTTTGACTGGCACTAAATAAGGGAATAGCAAATGAGCATGTGTCTCTAGTATTTTGCACGTTTAATTTTATGCAACTTCCCTCAGCTGTAATAATGTGTAATTATGTATCGGTTTTTCCAGATTATGAAGGATGTTGTTGGAAATTATTCCCAAGCCTTTTTGCAAACTGCTGCGTCTAAAAGCCATTGGATATGTAAAATGGCAATCATTATCTTCACACTAATTCAATTATAAATCCATATTCAGACTCGGGGGGTAAAAGAAAACACAGCTTGGAGATTAATCATTTGTAGATAAACTCTGGGAATTCGCCCCTAACTTTTTCTGAAGGGCATCCAACTGATTTCTGCTTGAAAAGATTCACACTCATTACATCAAATCAGAGAAAAGGGCGAGATGGAGGGGCCATAATGAGCCATGTTGGACTCCGATTTAGTCCTGATTGGCCTTTGCAAGCAGCGATTAGTAGTTCTCTCTGTGCCATGAGTATAAGAATGATATGTATTCTGCCAATAGCATCTGCACTGTTATAAAAAGAGTTATGGCAGCGCCTGGGGGAGTGATTTAGAGAGACCTTTTGGCAGCACAAATTACAGCATGAGGAGAAGGGAGGCATCCTTTTCCTGCCAATGTTTTGATTACAGTTATACATGAATATAGATTGTAGCATACATGCTCTGTTGAAATGTGATGAGATTTAAATCAATATTACAGTCAAAAATAACAACCACAGGTTTATCATATACAAAAAGCCAATAAAACCAGGAAGTGTTAGGATAACACATTTTTATGTAAACAAAAGGATATAATTCAAAGTAGGTTGTACAGTTACATTTAAATCTAGTGAAATATGTTAGCAGCTAATACTCCAATTTTTCCTGGAAGGAGCATGCTGCTTCCACAACTTTGCATGTATAAATAGAAACAGATGACCTGAAAAATCAGATGGATGAGTTACTCATTGGACACCAGTATGAAGGGGTCATAGTCAGGGGGAGTCAGCTGTATTATGGGTATTTACCAGAAGCTTGGATGATGCCAGTGACAAAAGATATGTACTCACCAGCATCTGAGAGTACGCCGTGACAGGACTGCACTGCTGTTGTGATGCAACCAGAAGAAGTAACTCAGCTTGTTGTCATCATTTGACTCCTGACAAAAAACCCAATTATGCTCCTAAATATCCTCAAACAAGCCCCTTCATGCATCCCTTGATCAGTTTAAGCACCGGTATTTGTATTCTTAACAGTAAGAGGGGTTATTGATGCCACCCTGAGGAACCTAAGAGTTTAATGCTGCAGCTAGAAAACAAAGATTTGCATTGAATATGAGCTCAAGCTGTTCACAAATAATTATCAATGATGTATTCTTGATTTG